TGGCTCCACTTTCTGGCCCTACCAAGTAACCCACAGCAGGGTGGTGGTGGGGGAAGTCTTATTTTTATTGCTGTTACAGGAATGTCTTAGGTATAGCAATTCTGTTCTCTTTATTACAGAGTTCAGGTATTTTATCTTTGCTGGAAGCCACAGTGAGTGGGATAGTATTGGGGACTGTTCTGGGACTGTTAATACTCTTTTTCCAGTTATGGTATACTTTGAATTCCCAACTGTTATGATTACTCACAAAGCTGTTCCTTAGCTGTCTAATTAAATATCGTGGTCCTGAAGATAATACTATGGAAGAACAGAAATACATAAAGAAAAGAACTATCTCCTTCTCTACAAAATCAGTATATATCATAGATTTTTGAATGCCTACATCCAATAGGATTGTGGCTTTCCACTTCTGGTTTAGTGTATGTTCATCAGTTTGGAGGGTGTCAAGGTAGTATGTGCTGAGAAACTATCTCGGTTGAAATGGGAAACTAAGCGTGTACTCCTAACCTAGTCGAAAAATAAAAAATAAGTTGGTTTATGTTTTTCACTGGAAAAGCACTAAAGTCACTTCTAAGAGGACTTGTAAACCTGTGAACATAGACACACTTAGTATGAATAGTGAAGAAGAATAATTTGAAGAATGATTTTCAATTTTATCTTTGAAAAACGATCAGTGCTTGAAATGGTTTTGGAAGTGAAGAAAATAAAATCTACTTGTCCTAAGAAGCATTTGGTCCAATCTGTAAGATCCCTAAAAATGCAAAGGCTGTTTTTTTCACTGTAACTTGATGTTCCATTTGCTAATAGTAGTTTTAGGTGATTTTTATATCCAAAGGTTTTCTACTTTTATTACTTTTATTTGTTATTGTTGCTAAACCACTGATACGCACCTTCTCTCTTGGGCAAGAAGGTAATTACTGAAAATAAAAAGATACTTGTTAAATCCGTATTTTAATCTTCATATGTGGTTGCACTTCCATTTTTATTCCAAAAGGTGGCAATGAGAGCCTTGGGTTTTGATGTGAAAAAAGCTGATGTACTGAAAATACTTAAAGATTATGATCGAGAAGCGACAGGCAAGATCACCTTTGAAGATTTTAATGAAGTTGGTATGTGTTTGATTGTGTACCTTTAGAGAAATTTAGCCTATAGTAGTGACTACAATTTGGAAGCAGTACTTGTGTACTTTTTCAGTTATCTAGTACTATTATGAAATAGAAGTGGGAGATTTCATTTCATATTTTTCTTAATAAAAGTTAATAGTGGAGGAAGATAAGTCTTTGTATTCTGAGTACTCAGTTTGATATGTAGAGGTAAATGATAGCCACAGCATAAAAGGAAATAGAATATACACAGTCCTAATCTTTTTCAAACTTACACAAAGGAATAAGTGCTAACTTAAAATGTGGATATTCTTGTGTTGCTCATGGATTTTGTAAGATTCTCCCTCCTGCTGTGGAAAAAGTATTTGGCATTGAATTTCATGGGAAGGAGTGTATACACAGACAAACTGTAAACTGAATACAGACTTCATATATAACAAAGATAAGAGAAATTGAAGCAGATGTTAAATATTGTGCTTCAAGAATTTTCAGCTGTTGATAAAACCAGTGGAATTTCATTAGGTTGTTTCTTTCATCTGAAGATTGTGTATTGCGCAGTTTGACATACTTTGAGTGTGTAGTGATCTGCAGAATCTTAAAGATCAGAGTTTAAGTTTCTTTGAAGATTTTCTAGTTGTTACACATAATTTATACTTCTGCATACAATTTGTGTTTACAAAAAAAATTAGCAGTGTGGGATTTCTCCATGTATGGCTTTATATCTCTATTTCATGATTCCAGTCCATGTGTTCAAGGTATTAGATATCTGTGAATTTTCTGCAAAAGACCCAGTGTAGTACATGTGTATTCGCTCTTGGCTATGAATAACAATCTACTTCATGTGGCAAAACAGTTATTCATTGAAAAGTGGCAAATTTTAATGATTTAACAGGTTAGGATTGGACAAAATGTGTTGTTAATAACGGATAATATTTTTGTAGTTGTATTCCAGATTAGAGCAAATAGGAGTCAGAAAAGAACCAAAAATAAAGTCTGTGGGGAAATATACATGATCAGTCCTGATTTAATTTAAAAAAAAGAAAAGTGGGAGTATTGATTTAATAGTAATACTAATATTACAATTACATCATTATGCTATAATAGTATATAATTGAATGTATTGTAATTACTGTATAATCCTCTTTTAATTCCTGATGTTCAGTCCTGTCATTGTTCATTGTTTCCTGGTTCTGTCCTGGCTATCAATACAGGCAGTCAATAAGTGCTATGAGAAGCTAGGAGAATTCTTGTAGAAAGCACAGTATATATTTGGAAGGCGATCGAACTTGTCCCAAAACTTGAATTGGATACGAGTGCTGCTATGACGTAATATGACCTTGACACAGAATTAAATATGGTACCACTTCTAGCAGAAAGACCAGGGAGTTAGAGGAAATAAATTATAGAAGCTTTAATTGTGAATAGCTGCTGAATATAGCTAAGCAATTCTTAAGCCATCAGTTTTCATAATTTGATGTTATTTATGGTTTTTAAATGTAGGAATGGTCCATCTGAAATGTATAAAGCTACAATTACATTTTGTCTTGTTCTGTACAATCATGTTACCTATATTATTTAGAGACCTAGTTTATTGTTCTTCAGCTGACATTGCAATTGTCTTTTTGCCATGAAAGGTGGAATTTTTCAAATTATGTAATACTGACATGCCATGTAGTTGTTTTAAATATTTAAATTTAGTATAAATCTGAGGGATTTATGTAGGCATATAACCTTCATTGTTGTAGTGAGCTTATATGAGCTTGAATCTAATTTTTTCCTGTCAAGTTCGCTAAGCCAGAGCAGGCATTCCATCTGCAGACAATAGCAGATGCTAAGTGGTTCTCTATGCACAAACAGGGTTGATGTGTTTTTAATGGCTTGATGAAAGCCATAAATAACAAGCCCTGTGATACAAGACTAGCAGGTACAAAGATGTGAAGGTATTTACGGTTGGTTCCAGAAATGTCTGAAATAATTACTAGAGTAATATTTTATGTGGCAAGTTTGTCTTTTCTGTTACAGAAACTGACAAATGATTGTGATGAAAGGAATAATAAAGATTGACGAATCCTTTCAGAATTAACATCTTGCAGTTCATAGCAGTGTCCTTTTCATAACCTCTGGGCTTAGGTTTTTTTTGGTTTTTTGTTCAAGTGGTTTTGTATTAAAAGAGAGGGTCCATGTGAATGTTTTTCATTACTTAATGTTTCATTGTTCTCTCCAAGTCAAAATTCTATCCTGATCAAAACATAAAAACAGTCACATGTCTTCATCTCTCAGAACTGATGTTTTTTTCTAAAAGGTAAGTTTGGAACAGAGGACGCATGTGTATACTTTTAATTCCTATTGAAAAGTATGTTGAAAGCATGTCTGTGTCTAAATTGCCATGTAGCTTTCCACTGCAACAGGTATGTCCCAAAGAGAAACTCAGCTTGGGAAAAGAGAGAGGAGAAAGAGAGGTCAGATAACAGCCAAACAAATATGCATGTTGAATTGTAATATATAAAAATGAAAGAACGGGTGAAATCAAAAGTGTATGTTCTTCATATTGCCTCAGTCAGATGAGGTCATTCTGAGTTTACCTTTCAGAATTTTTTAGTCTAACTTCAGTATCCTTCTCACAGTGACAGACTGGATATTGGACAGAGACCCACAAGAAGAAATACTCAAGGCATTCAAATTGTTTGATGATGACGACTCTGGTAAAATAAGTCTGAGAAACCTGCGCCGGGTTGCTAGAGAATTGGGTGAAAATATGTCAGATGAAGAACTACGGGCTATGATTGAAGAATTTGATAAGGATGGAGATGGAGAAAGTATGTGTTAATAAACAAAACCCCATATAGTCTGTTCTTAATTTTCTTCACTTTTAAAATGTGGCTTTGTTGTGAAAATGTCCTCTTTGGTTTCCTTCTAAGTAACTTTCAGCTCAAACTTAATTGAGCTTACAAATAATGGAAATTGTTGTTTTTGACAGCTACTAGTCCTGGAAACATATCTTGGAGTCTAAAAACAAGTTGATTTCTCAAGTTGATTTACCACTAACTCTTACTCAACCGACGTCTATTAAAAGATTAGTGAAAGTGTAGGTGAAGGTGGAAGTAATTGAACTGGTACATGGGAGATTCCATGTACCTACATTACATTTTTATTTCCTTATAAATCAGTAAAAGGATTAAAGCGCTAAGAGAAACTCTTTTGATCGCCTAGTCAGTGTTTCTTAAGTGGTGATGTGTCACCGTTGTGATTTCAGCATGTTAGTCACATATGGAATATTAAGCTAATAAGTCATGCTGGGTGTACCCTTACCCGAATAAGTCTATGCAGGATCAGCTTAGATGGGTCTTTAACGTACTTCTGAACTTGAGTGCTGAAGAATGTAGTGTAAAAGATGGCTCTGGGCAATTGACAAGGTCCGTACAGAGTGGACTGCAAAAGGGATTTATTAGCTAGATAAAGAATGAATTAACAAATCCAGTTTGATATTATACTTATTAAATCTTCGTAAGCAGTGCAACTTAGGTTTTTTTCATTAACTTGAAAACATCCATATGTTTACACCAAAAGCCTTAATATCTGAATTTCAGGGACCACTCGCTTGAGACTGTGTACATAAACATTGCGTTTTTAACAGTCATCGAAACCTACTTCTGAGTTTTCCTTTCAGGATGGTGACTCATGTCTGAGATTTCACTAGCAGTTCATCAACTTTTTCAGTTACAATAGTATTTCTACTTGTGAGCCACTGCATCTATTGGACTCAAAACTCTCACTGCTAGTGAAAAAAAAAATTGTGCTGTTGTCAGCCTTGTGACAGACACTCCTCCCATCTATGCTGTTTGAGATAGATGTTATTCCATGCTGGGGAATACAATTACTGAAGTACTGAAACAACCCCTTTTCTTTCAAGAAGAAGAGCAGGTCGTTTCAAACATGGTCAGTGGTGTGGAAACGCGAACCTTTTGTTCATTGTAGTGGTGTAAATACAGAGCCGTGAGACAAACATAGTGAAAGATCAGTGATTCAACTGCCAGAAGAGTGTTAATGTTGACACTGTTATTACTGAAGTAAGTGTTGAGAAGTGTGTGATTTCTTTCTTTTTGGAGCTATTGTTTTCTGACATCTTCCTATGGTCTGACGCCATGGTTCCTTAATAAATCCATACTGCATAATTCTGTTGTTCCTGCACACTCCCAGTTGTGTCTTACCACCCATTTCTTGCATTGGCAGTGTCTCATCCCAGAGGTGAGATGTTTAAGGGAGCTAAGCCAGGAGAAAACTGTTCATTTAGGTTTTTGTGTTGTTTTTCTTGCTGCTTAGATCGCTGAGCTGTCTTTCTGCTTGATCAGATTTTCTTGGAGCTGCATCCTGAGAAATAGATTTTATTTTTTTCTCAGTGTTTCCTATAGGATATTTGAAGTAGGTCAGGATAGTGAAAGCTGCAAATCCTGTTTTCAGGCACTTATCTGCATGCAGGGACACACAGGATGGCACCTGTGATTTCTGGTAGACAATAGGGTACCTAATTTACTTCCTTTTCAGTAGCTGTATAGCAAACAAGGAATGATGCTTGTTTTCTCACTCCATTAGATTGATTGCTAGTCTAGGTAGATACTTAAATTTTGAGCTTGTTTTGCTCTTAAAATGAAGAGTTGTAAGGACATTACATTGGTAGCTTTTTACTTTTTTTTTTTAAGATTAATTTTACTTTTTTTTTTTGAAGGTGTAGCTGTAGAGGTGAGTGAGAGTAGAAGTCATCTGCAAGCATGTTTTGTTCTGTGTTGCTCTCCTGAAGCTGCCATTTGAGATGTCAGAATCACGGATCAAGGATGGCTTTTTGTCATGTGGCTATTTGGTCACCACAAATTGAATATAGACCACTAGCTCCTTTCAGGAAGGTTACTGAGTGATAATTATTCTGGGTCAGTGCTACATTTTTTCATTCAAATTGATCAGCTAAGAGTGGGTGGCTCAGTTTCCTCTTAGTCATTCATCCATTGGTTCTCTTTGTTAGAGCAGTCAGGCACAAGATTAAATATGAAAGATTGACAGCATAATGTTTGTGTATGGTGATGTTTATCTTTCAGGTTCTGTGTGTTTTCTGTTCTTTAAAGAAAACTGATGCTGTTTCTAGCTTTTTAAGATTCATTCTGAAAAAGTAAATAATCCTGTGAATCATTGTTCCATTTAGCTTCAAACATCTGGGTCATGTGCTGTCATCTAATTCTCATTTTCCTGCCAAAAAAAAAAAAAAATCTGAAACCATTAGTTGGTAGCATTTTTAATTGATACTTCAAACACAGGAATAATACCACTTGTGGTTTAACACACTGCTTACATTTGAGAGATTGTTTTGCTCATAGTGAAATAAGGTCTGTTGTGGGATACCCAGGCTACTTGAACTCTTGTGTTTCCAGCAAAACCACTGAGCTGTACTGGTACACTGTACATAAGTTTCTGTAGAAGAAAGTATTTTTGACATATTTCTGTCTGCCTTAAAAATGTAAATAGTCTTATTTCTGTATTCCTGGTCTTAGGAATGACTTCTGTTTTGGAGTATGACTATTTTTAGAAACTCCGTGCTGTTAGTTCATGCAATTTTTGTCATCTTGTGTGGATGAATCTGTAGGAAACACGATCCAGTCTTGGGTCTCAGATTTTGGCACAGAATTAGGAGAAAAAAGACTCCACTGAAATAATATGCTCCTTTAACTCTCCAGAGTCTTAAGTCAACATTCTAGTCATATTAGCTGTGACAGTAGTTTGTTCTTTTATGATGATTTATGTCATGGAATTGAGGGAAGTCTGATGCTAGGAGAGACTGATTGCTTCTGATTTCATTGTGCTTAATTTGTGAACAGATCCTAAATCTGAGGAGGATTAACTGGGATTAACAGGGTTACTGGGAACTGTAACTTCACTTTGCAGTTTGTTTGACTGTTACAAAATTTGTTTGTCATAATACTACTGTATTTCCACTTTGCAGCATTGTTTAACAAAGATGTTTTAAACCAGAGAATACTTGGGGAGGATGTTTGTATTTGTGCTGTTGTTGTGCTGTTACTCTGATAAAGCTTTTTAAAGTCATACAGACAACATAGTACTTACGTGTAGTGGAACATGATGTAGCTACATGACAGACTGATATTTCAGAGTATAGGGGCCTAAGCTAGACTAAATCTACTTGTTTCATATTTTTTACATGTGTCGCAACAGGGCAGATTTAGGTTTATTTTTTTATTCTTTAACATAATTGAATTTGTTTAATTTTCTTCTGGCTCTAAATTTAGCTCTTACTTTGCAGTGCTTTGTTTAGGAATAGCTTGGGCACATTTGCTAGGACAGATAATTGTCAGGGAGAATTCTTCATACGTGTCTGGTCTTTTCCATACCACTGACTTGTTCTAATCATTCCCCCCTACAGTAATTAGTTGCAGAGTGAACATGTTCATTGGTTAACTCTTTTACAGTGGCTCTGTTTTAACATATGAGTAAGGTCAATAGCTCAGGTATAAGTGCAGCAAAATAATTAATGACTGCTAATTAATTTATTATTATGACTTAATTTCTTCAAGTACATTTGTGTAAAATTTCTGTTAATTATAACTGAAGAATGAAGGAAGTTCAGATGGGGAAAAGCTTGTCAAAAGTCCATTTTAATTCTAGCTAATTTATGGAATCGTTAGTAAATGGTCTTAAAATTCATTTTGTATTTAGCAAGCGTTACAGGTTTGAGAGAGGAATAGCATAGTATTTGGACATAAATGTCTGAACCATGATTTTAAGAATAAAACTGAATTTGATCATAATTGAAGCTGCAGTATTGTTCCTTGAATGGCACTTATTTAATAAAATTTATATACCATTTTTAACATTTTTATAAATCTTAAAAACTCATAGTAATAAAGTATTGTAGGTTTGCGTAGCCATTTTTTTACATACTTTTCTTGGTATTTTTTTTCTATCTTGTTTTACTTTTTAGAATATTTTTACTTTCATAATTAGAAATAATAGCTTGTTACATGTAAGCTAGATTCTGGCTTAAGTTTTCCACATAATAAAGCTTCCATTCTGACTTTTCCTTTTACCTAAAAAAAAAAAAGCGCAAAATCTCTATTGTTCTAGAAGCAAAAAATCCAAGCTTCTAAAACCTGATTAGTAACGGATCAGACACAACAAATACTAACTGGTAAACCTTTAAGTAAAAAGTATAATACAGATATGCATTATTTTCTTTTATGGTTTATGGATGTTTGCTGTTTTTCTAACGATTTTCTCTTTTTCTACAGTCAATCAAGAAGAGTTCATTGCTATTATGACTGGAGATATTTAGCATTAGAAGAAAAAGAAATGAACTCAGCACAAAAGGGAGGAATCATTGGCAGCTTCCATTACCATGTTTTGTACTTCCATTCATTTCTGTAGCTGGAGTGATGCAGAAAATTACTTTCCTCACAGGACCAAAATAAAGACAGGTTATGTGCACTGATAGTTCAGTACTTAGTATCATTAAATATTATCACTAGAATAATTGATATATCATTTTAGAACAAGTAAGTAATGCTGCATTTCAGAATGTTTGAGTATTCATTTGTAAAATAGCTTTGTATAAGACTTCTAAATTGTATCATATTATAAGAACCTTTTGAGGTTGACTTTGTGTTAGCATTAGCTGTGGCCTTAGTTTTGATATATAAGGTTTGACAAACTTCCATTTTAATAAAATAATCTTTACTATTGCTACTTGAAAGTCTTATTTTTGTAGTTTAATCTGAACTGGACGATAATGTAAAATCCTTCAGGGAAAATAATTTTTTTTTTTACATTTATAGGCTTGCATTTCTGCAGTTCTAGATGAATGGTAACATTAAATGAGCAACCATTTGCATCCTCAAAGATGCAGTTTATTAACTCTCTGTTATCCCTGTGTGATAGCAAAGGGCAGGTGACTATGCACGATGATAAACTGTATCAAAAATTTGCTTAAATCATCCAGATGTCAGCCAGCAGTGCTGTCTTCAGTATCTACAGCTCTGTGGAGAAAATGACAACTGTTTATGATGAGTAGATGCTCTTTCTGCTCTATCTAGTTAGAAGAAAAGCATCACAGGGAATGAACTTTTAAAGTAGTTGAAGAGACTGGATGTATTTCTAGTTTGCCAGGTGTCTTTCAGGAGAGTTCTTGTGGGTTGCTCTTCCAGATTTCCTGTATATCAGTTGTAGTTTTTTCTTTTTAAATTATACTGTCCATATATTTCAAAGAACGTGACTAAATCTTGGTTAATCCTCTGGTCATCTTTATTGTCAGAAAAGCAGCTGCTTTTTAACTGTCAGTAATCCTGGAATCATGAATAGGTTTGCCCTGCACAAACACTCAGAGCTTGGAATTTACTGAAGACAGAAGTTAAGGTCATCAAAGTTAATAGATTCTTCCTATTATTTTTCAAGTGTGTATTGTGACATTCTTATTTGTGAATACTGTGTCGTGCTCTATTAAGCCATCAATACCAGTCCATTCATACAGAAGGTTATAGCAATTCAAAATGACTAGCGAGCCCCTCTTGGTAGAAAGGACCCCTTCTTGGTGAGATTTCCCCCCCCCCCCCCCCAATTAATTATGAAAATATAATGGGGAAAAATGGTAGGGATAAAACTAATATGAAATTTGTGGGAGTGATTGGTATTTGCCAGGAATTTGCAGTCGTCTTAATGCTTAGTTAATGTCTACGTCTTAAAGTTTGAGTAAAATTCCTCTGTGCTATATCAGAGGTGGATTTTATAAGCAAGTGCTTGCTCAAAAAGTAAACAGCATGAAATATTTGCAGGATGAAGATAGGTGTTCATGGGGAAAAATTTTTCTATATATAGTATGGAAATACTTTATTTCTTTTATATTAATTTCAGTGTAATAGTTGGGAAAGGAGAAGAATAAGAGTTGAAGGATTCTGCCATGCGAGAGGGAGTCTTGCTTGGGAGTAAATACAGCAAACTTCTTACAAGACAAGTAAAATCCTTTAAAATAACAAAAAAGCCACATAAAATGTAAAACTTATTTAAAAAAAAACTACCATTAAAAAAAACAAAACAAAAAAAACCAAAAAAAACCCAAAACCACCACAAAAACCAATCCAGCTCTTAACAAATCCACTAAGATTGGAAAATACTGGTTTGGGAGGTGAATATTTAGGGGAAAAGATTCTGTGTTTGGGACTGAGGCTATGAACTGCTCTTAAGTATTTTCTAGGACAGGGTATTGTCCACTTCAGTAGATTATGGCTTTGCTTTTAAGTTCTTATGTGAACTGTATCAGGGACATTTATTTTCTGCAGACAGTGAAAGCGATAGAGAACTTAAAAGATCCCTTAGCAGTCATCAAAAAAAAAAAAACATTTTTCCCAAGAATTGTACCCTTATTGTGAATGTGCCAGTCTTCTAATACTCTGCTGTGGCTGTTGAGTGACTGGCTTTTACGGGGATGTTACCGTTGTGTTCCTCTGTAGATGGCAATTATTTCTTGATACGTGTTGCTTTTTTTTTGTAGCTCTTCCAGCAAGATGCGCTTTGTCTCTTCTGGATCGAGGCCTTATTTCTAGCTTTTGCAATGTACTTTGAAAACCATACTTTATTCTTGCAGATGTGGCAGCACTTGTTATGGGCTAAATAACAATAGTGCAACACTCCCATAAGCACAGGCCAGTGAACTGGAGAGGTCTTGTAAGTTGTTCAGGCTGTGGGAGTGGCACAGAAGAAAAGAAAAAGAAACAATCAGCATAGTATTTAGTGATATTGTCTCAATGTTTGGCTTTTCTTTTTCTCTGCATTTCCTTGTTTGGGAGATTTTTACATCCCAAAACCATACTTGTGCTGCTGAATGGTGAGCTTTTTGCTGTTTTGTGTACTGGGGGTGTTGCAATTTCTGTTGTCTTTTCTTGATATTCACCGACTGACAGTAATTGTGATAGATTGGAGTCCACAGCCTGGTAAGATCTAAGCTCTGAACTTGCAACTGTCTCTTGGCTCCAGCACTGACACATACATTCAACTCTGTATGTTTTGTGGGGCTCACACCTATCCTGGTGCTTTTTGGTAGTTAGCTTGGTGTATCATAGTATACAGATGCCCAGTTTTTGTCTTTTCATTCTTTGTCTGATATCGGAGGAGGAAGAGAGTCATTTGGTGGCACATTCAAATCTTGTCTGTTGTAGAACAGTATCAAGGTTCAGCATTTTTTTTCATCATGACATATTGCAAAGCTGTGCTGTGAATGTGTGCCTTATTTCTAGACTTGCAAAGGTGGGTTAGTGCTAAAGCAGCAGGGTCTCACCTGGAGTACCTGGGACAAATGCTTCTCTGTCGCCTCTGCTGTGGAGGGAAGTGATGCCTGGTAGAAGTCCAAAAATGGCAGCTAAGGGAATGTCATAATCCATTGGACTGAAGTCCAGTGGAGCCTCTCTTTAAGAGCTTACAGTAACAACAATTTAGCTGTGCCAACTAGTCCATCATTTCCCCAGTTAATCCCATGCAACTTTGAGGAAATTGAGAACCTCCAAGTGAATAAAAATACTATGTTGGAGTGCAGTGTATACCCAGTGTTACTCTGCTGATTTATTTTAGAACAGTCTTTTCAATACTAAGTTTGCCACGTAAAACACTTTTGGTTTGTGTTTACTCATGGAAAAGTTTCCATGGCAGAGTTAAGTCATCAAAAGTCAGAAAATGCCAATGTTAAGGTTACATATGTCTCATCATGTGGAGGCTCTGCCCAAGTTCAGAAACACCTCCGTAGTGCCCTGGTGATGTGGCCATCTTCACCACAAGCAGCAAAGCCTTGCTTAACCATGCCCTTGGAGCTCAATGAAGAGGAAAAGGAAAACCACGACAACTTGGCTGGCAACGGAGCAGAGGCCAAAGAGGCAGTTTGCGAAGGGAGGGATGAGCAGACAGACACTGGGAAAAAACCCAGCTGCATCTTCACTTCTTGAACTGTGGCTGCAGCTCAGGAAGATGCTTAACTCAAGACTGGCATTGTAGGACGTTATGTGTGGTGGTTACGGCGTGAAGCTGAGTGTGGAGAATTCCTTCAACTTTTACAAGTTTTGCAGGCTACGTGGAGTTCTGGAATGTCACAGCTTAGTAAACTCTGTTAGCAGAGGTTTTTATCACAAATGACACAAGAACAGAGGATAAGAACAGTTGCATTAAATCCAGTTGCCCCGTAGGTTGCTTGTAGTTGCTCATAACAGCTCACATAGTTGGAGTTTTTTTGTTGACTCACATCTGATAGATGCACTGCTCGCATAAGCGACCCTTTACTTGTTTTTGTCAGACTGGGTCCTGCTATTCGGCAGATAACGGCTGTGACTGCAGCTTGCCTTGCTGCACACAAAACCACATCTGATGCGACAGTTGCGTTTTTCTTTGACTTTTCCATTAGGTCAAGAGTTTGTAGAAGATAGTGGCTGGCACTAGCCAAACTTTTGCAGAAGTCATTTTCTGTAGTGCTCTTGCAGAGGGATAATTGCCACTGAAGTAAGTCTGTAGGGATGTTGAGAATGTTTTCATCCTTGAGTAACAAAAGAAAAATGATTCTACAGAGCAGAAAAAGAGGTCAGTGTTTCGAGCGATTCTACCTTCCCTAAGGTACACCGAGGGGAAAATGCGGACAAATCCATTCAGTCCCACTAAGATGTCACACACATTACCAGAAAATCAGTAGAAACATCATAAACATGTAGAGAATCTGCAAGTATCTTACTTCTATCATAGTGCAAATGGTTCATCTACCATAAAACTGTTGCTAAGCATACTGAACATGTTGGCAATTACCAGCAGTCAGAAGTGATAGCTCTCAGAATATGTAAGTGGAAACTTTCCATGTGTAGGTCTTTTTGAAATGATGTTGTATTCGCCACTTTTTACCTTTTACTATTTTGAAAACTACTTCACTTACAAAGGAATATTTAAAGGAATTCCAAAGGAATAAATAAATAAATTTAAAGGAATAATTCCTTTAAAATATTCCTCTTAAAGGAATAAAGAATGGGCTTAGCAGGAAAGGGCTACTTTACTAAGAGAGATCCATTTAGAGCTTGTTAGCTAGACAATACTTTATAAATAAGATTGCCTAGAATGTTTTGCAGAAATGCTTGTTATAACATCTGGATAAACTTTTTTTATTGCAGAGCTTAATTATGAATGCATTATTTCAATTATAATTTCATAAAATGAACTTCTAAAAGGGCCTTTTTGGTTTTGGGTTGGTTATTTGGTTTTGGTTTTTGTTTTTGGTTTTTTTTTTGTGAGGAAGTGACCTTGAAGTTTGACTCACTAAATCCTGCTTTATTGGTGTAAATAGAATTTGGACAATTTGTGTGGGCAGAAACTTGCAGTAATCCAAGTTCTTGCTTGAAAGGCTTTCCCAGGTCTTGGAAGGAGCCCTTCCCAGCCCTCTCCTGGAGGCAGGTTACAACAGGGCAACTGTTCCAACTGTAAATGGAAATGTAGGATAAGAAAGAAAGAAAGCTATCCATTTTAAAATGAGCTGTGCAAGCTCATATAATAAATAGATTTATTTTAATCCAGTCATGATGGGGGAAAAAACCCAACCACCTTGTGCTCTCTTGTTTAGTGAAAGGCAGAGCTGCACTAATACAGGTCAAAACTACACAGTAATGTGCTGTACCAAGGAACACAAAAAGGAAAGTAGTAAAATACCTGTATGATACTTGTGATTGCTGTATATA